ATTTTTTTCTCTCAGTTGATGGAATAGAATTTTTTTTAAGTGGATAAAAGGTTTTAGAACAAGTTTCATGATTTACTTATGAAGAGGAAATGTTGAGGAAAATTTTTGACACAGTTTTGTTGGAAAATCTGACAATGAAAAATATTCGAAACTGGTTTTAGTGACAAAGCTACTTAAAAGCTTGTGTCAAAGCACGGCGATCGATCTCTCCACTTTTATTTTAAATATAAAAATGCCGGCTTTGTCCTCATTTTCATGTATTCTTTTTTTTTTAACAAAAATGTTTTAAAAAATGCTGAAAATTTTGGTTGAAATCACATTTTAGATTCACTGGCATTTCAATGCGTTTTGTCATTGAAAATTCAGAATTTCGTGGAAAAATGAACGAGGATTGTGAAATTCAGGTCAATTATTCCACGAAAAATCATTAGAAATCGGGACAATTCCGGGAAATATGTTCCTCACCATTCAATTTATTATTTTTCAATTCATGTTTTCATTTAAGATTCAAATAACTTGAGGAATTCTCGTCTTAATGCTGCTGAAAAGTCTGAAATTCCATTGAATTTTCTTTGAAATCGGAAATTTAATTATTTTTTCCCCCTAAATCGCATTTAATGTCACTCTCTTGGAAATAATTAGTCGCGTGTCCACGAAAATTCAGTTTTCTTCAGCGTGTCACTTTTTTAAACATAAAATTAAAAAAAAATCCCACAGTTTAGTTGAAAATTTTGACAATTATAAATACTGAAAACTGTCTTCATTGATGAAGCTACTTAAAAAACTGTCACGTCAAAGCCCAGAAATCAATCACCCCACCTTTATTTTCAATATAAAAACCTATTAATCCTCAGAGCCCACACTAACTGGAAATAGTGACGTCTCCGACTCCGTCACTATCACATTCTTTCGTCGTTAGGCACCAAGATCCCAACATCCCAACGTTTAAATATAAATTCGAGTGTAAGAGTGGGCCAGGCTCTAGTCTTGGCGTCGCGACGCTTCGCGAAACACCCAGGAGTGCCTTGCGCCGTACCTCCAGATCCCAGTGAACCATTGAAATTCATAAAAATCACTCCTCATCAACACAAACTTCATTCCTCCGTCTGTTTGATGTGCGCAAAATTGTCAAGTGAAAATACAAAATCGCCACCTATCTGTTGAAAAAATAAATACACCTCGAGACACTCGGGGATCCAGCAGCAACAGTAAGTCAGTGTGAAGGATCGTGGAAGAATCAACAGCAGTAAAATTTTATTCGAGAAATGTCATCACCTGTGCGCCACGAAATACGGATAACCGTTTTTCTCCAGAACGGCGTCGTCGTCATTCACATATGATTCATTCCACCCGCGAGCCCACAAACACCCATTCAACAATTGCCTTTGACTCGAACAAATATCTACCTGATAATAAATAGGGACCCCAAAGAACTTTGAAAAGTGGTCGTTGAACCTAGCGTGACCATACACAAAGACGTCAGCCACAAAGGAGGCAATCGAGCGTGGAAGCGAAACTAGTTGAGAGGAAAGAAAATTGAATAAAAAAAAAATATTGACTCTAATTGGAGCAACGAGAGAAAGTGAATTGATTCAAAAATCGTGATCGATTGCAAAACGAGGAGTTGAACGAGGGCTGGAACTTGGTCGACGACCCGATCATTGGGAGCAATTGAGGCCAATGGTGAAGTATCTTCGATCGATTTCCTCGGGACTTGAGAATTCTTGGTAAAGTCCTCAACACTGCCTTCACCATCTCGCCAGGGGCCAGTATGGCGTGCTTCAGCCCCCCGAATCATCGAAGTGCACCTGTGATTGCACCCACTGCCGAGAGATACTCGAGAAATTATCATGCACCTGTGTTTAGACGTGTCACTGTTGTCAATACTGCCTCTGTAAAACACTTGCCAGCGCCGATTAAAATTGTATACAAGTAGACGATGATTTTGATATTTATTAAATTTACAGAAATGTTTTTTATAGTAAACTATTGTTAAATTTGTGGTTAAAAATCCCATCCTAAAACATTAAACAGTTCTTGAACATGAAATATGTAAAAACACGAAACAATTTACGTTGGGGAGTGTTCCTACACTGAGAGAAAAATGACAAAGTTCTCAAACAAGTCTTACTTGTGTCAAGAAAATAGTTTTTTGAAAATTATCAAGAAAGAATTTTTTTTGTACTAAACATGCAGAGAGTGCGCTGGAATGAAAAATTTTTGTCGCAAAAATTGATTTAGTAATTAAAAAAAAATTGCATTCTCTGTGCACGCGAGAAATGTCATTTCTGGCACTACTCCTTCGTTATTCGATACTCCCATACGTATTTTGCTCCCGAAAAATCTTTGTTTTATGCGAAACAAGGGATACTATTTTTTCGTTTCGGCTGTCTAATAATCACAGACAAGAAATGAACCCTTAAATGAAACAATAATAATTATATGATAGCAATCTTGTTACTTAGGGATAAAATATTTGTTGTTATATTATATGAGATATTTTCATCCTGAAAAGGCACCGTCTGGTGTGAATTATCCGCCTCTTGAGCCAAATATTTCGTTGCTGTCAAAAGCAGAACAATTATTCATGTTTGAGACTTTCCAATTCTAACCAAACAAATTCTTTTTTGGCAATTTTCAACTAGCGATTTTGTTGGCCCAAACAAGACTTGTTTGACAACGTGTTTGTTTTTCTCTCAGTGTAATTGGGGATCCCAAGGGGGTGAAAAGTTAGTTTTTCGCATGATTTTATCTAGAAAATTGTTCTGAGCGTGAGGATTAATAAGGTCTCATTCATTCAATATTAAACATTCCCAAAAATGTGGTTTTCATGATAAACCTTTGTTATTCAATTTATTTGATCGCCCTTTATGCCCCAGTGGACTCTCCCATTACACAATGATTCAAATTACATCACAAAAGGCCTGAGGGAGATATGGTAATGCAGCAATTCGAGCGCACTCAATCATTTTTATTATTTCCAATGGCGAATTGATGACGGACGATTATTCTGGCAACTCCTCTCGCTCGTGTCGTTCACTCGGACTTTTGGAAGACATCCAGGGGTGAACACTCATCGACCAGTCATTTGCGTTTTTTTTTTTTAATTGTTTTCATCCTCGAGTTTTGCTGGAGCTTATTGATCTTGACCGAAGGGGCGGCGGGGGGAGGGAGAAACGCGTGGAGAAAATCCGGGATTAGAGATTGAAAGTGATCATTGCTAGGCATGAAACGTCTCGATGTCCTCGTGAATGCCATAATTGAGCCAAGACTAATGCAATTTACGGTTTTGTGGTGAAAAAAGTGGGAAATAAACGAGAACAATGACCATATTTTTCGTTGCCATCCGGAGTACTCGGCTGCGCACATATTCTTACGTAATTCCTCGCACCCGACATTGACAATAATCATCGAATTACCTGGTAACGTTGAAGCTCGCGTTAACAGTGGAGCCGTCCAATGAATTCAATCGACAACTGTTCTCCAACGCCAGTCGTCTGTGTCTCCTCGAACGCTCATCATTTCGGAATACCACAGTGTTGGGAATTTTTTGGAATTCAAGTGATAGGTGGTTTTGCATTTTTAATGCTGTGAATTTTAATTTTATCTGATATTAAATTATGGAATTGTTCATTCGCCCTGGAGTTGGAAAAAAATTGAATTTTTCGTGCTAAGGGAGCGGTGGATTTTCAATGATGGCTTGAATTTTGGATTTTTTATGAGATTTCGTAATTACATTTAATTAAAGTTTGTTTTTGTCGAGAACTTAGAGATGTTGCCGGAATTTTGGACGATTTTCAATCATTTTTATTGCAGAATGGATGAGAACATTGAGGTTGCATTGAATATTAGTCATTAAAATTTTCAACATTTTTTTTTCTGTAAATTTGAAGAGTAATTTTCTAAGAGTGTAAATCGTAAAAAGCTACACTATCAGAATTTTCGGATTTCGACCAACAGTTGCTCGTGAATGTCAAATGTTATGGATTTGAGTTCAATTTAAAATAAAATCTTCCATGAAATTTCTTATTTATCTTGTAAGTTCAACAAAATTCATGTTCTTTCGTGTCAATTGTTGAAATTCAACGCTATATTCAATTGAATTCTCAATGCATTGAGGATTCTCGACAACATTTGCTGAAATTTTGTTTGAAAAATTGAAATTTCGTTTAAAATTCCGCAAATTAACACATTCATCATCACCAAGTTAATATAAATCTCACATCTCACCCAGTAATAGTTAAAAATTCCTGAATTTTTCGCTGGAAATTTCTCACAGAAATCTTTCAACCGTGCATTCCCCCAACAGCCCAACCCAAAACTCTAAAAAAAAATTAAAAAAATAAACAGCCTTTCCCAATCTCCCTTGCAACATCACCACAAAAACTAAAGCAAAAATAAAAAGGAATCTGGCTGTGAAGTGCGGCAGGAGCCCCCGGAAGGGGTCACACACTGAATCCCATCGTGGTACCCGGCTTTGCGCAAAAATAGCGCGTGCAGTTGGTCGTCAGTCCCGACGAACGCAGCACTGGAGTACGAATACGAACGACTGCGTAGAAGAAACAAAACAAAAAAAACGTAATGATTTCGGTGACAACTTCAAAGTACTTTCTCCCCTGGGCGCAACATTGAGGGGCCAATTACGGGCATCAAGAGACTGCTGGAGTGATGATGGGTAACGAGCGAAAGACCCTGAGGAGGGGAGCAACTTATCCCGATGGGACATTAACGACAACTGACGATTGTCGTTCCGTCATTGATGTGTGCGAAGTGGACACACACTATGATTATCCCACCGATCTCGAAGATATGGCAGTGTCAATGGCTCGGAGAACGAGCATAACTCGCATATTGGCACGAAAATCAGTGGCCTGGGCTCGTTATTCACTTCAGAAATTACCTATACGATTGACCCTGGGGAATCTGGGTTTTTTGGCTGTCATTCTTGCCATTGTAATGCCACGTGCATTCACTTACATTATCATCTATCCAATTTTCAGATTGGTCTTTGGGACTCTGTATCCAGCTTACGCCTCTTACAAAGCTGTACGCACTAAGAACGTTAAAGAATATGTGAGTAATATTCCATCAGTGAACAGTAAAGCCAGGGAAATGACTAATTTGTACCGAATGAAATTTTATTTTACGTTTTTTATTCACTTCGACAGTATTTTCGGTTCACGTTGAAAAATTCATATATTTATTTCAATGAAAGTGACAATTTGCGAGTAAATAATCATTACATGTTCGTAAATTTCCTTTGTTCGTGATTTAAACAATAATTTCGCTCCTAACTAATAATGTCTTCAATTGAAAACGATTGGTTATATTGAAATAAATTTTTCTCTGATGTGAATAAAAAAGCAAAAAATCATGGGATAAATTAATAGTTTCAATTTTTGATTTTATTAAGGTAAAATGGATGATGTACTGGATCGTATTTGCCCTATTCACTTGTGCCGAAACCTTCACAGACGTATTCTTCAGTTTCTGGTAAGAATAATAAATAATTTCTCCCCACATGCAATACAATGGCGAATAGAACTGCTGCATTATACGTTCATTATATTCACATTCCACCATCAAGTCTTTCGGGTTCATGTAAATCTCGTACCTCTAGGGAATACCAACATGTCTAATTTTGGACGGGGACGAGACAGAATATTGGCTTGGAGTTTATACCCAACTGCTTCCGCTGATTCTCATCCAATGTAACGAGCGTAAATTTATATAAATGCGAAGAATATTGATTTAACGGCTATTGAAAATTCACTTTGGATTTCCATACTTCATGGGTCTGAAAATAGCCATGTGACAATTTAAGTGAAATCTTTCATTATTCACAGGGTTTAAAATTGCTGCTGAAATTTTCAGTGCACTTCGTGGAAATTTTGATTACGTTATAGTTCCACTGGAATTTCACGGAGTTTCGTTATTGGATGTTCCGAATTTTTGCGTGAAACACACAGGTGTATAAAAATACAACTGCGTGAAACACACAGGCGTATAAAAATGCAACTGCGTGAAACACACAGTAGTAAAAAACTCCAACTGCGTGAAACACACAGTAGTATGAAACTTCAACTGCGTGAAATACACAGCAGTATGAAAATTCGGTTGCGTGAAACACACAAACTTCACGCATGCGTGGAGTGTATGGAGTGTACGGGAGTGACTCACGCAATGGTGCGAATAGTCACGGCCATGTTTTTTTTGGGTCAAATGAAAGAGCGGCTCGAAAAATGGCGTGCAGAAGTCTTTAAAGATGACAATTGTCTCTAAAGATGATGTCTGTTTTCAATTGAAAAGCGCAATTGTAAGAACATTGTCCAGTGGGGTCTAGGAGTCTCCTCTGGTTCAAAACCATCTTTAGAGGCCCTAGCAAGCCATTTCTCGACCCGCTCTTTCATTTGAGCCCAATCAACATTCATATCTTGTCTGACATCGCTGCTATAAACTCGTGTCTACAACTCGGGCCTGTCTCTAAAGATGATGTCTGTTTTCAATTGAAAAGCGCAATTGTGACAACATTGTCCAGTGGGGTCTAGGAGTCTCCCCTGGTTCAAAACCATCTTTAGAGGCCCCAGCACGCCATTTCTCGACCCGCTCTTTCATTTGAGCCCAAAAAAACATTCATATCTTGTCTGACATCTTTGCTACAAACTCGGGTTTTCAACTCGGGTTTTCAATTGAAACCACTTGCCTATAGGGGATCCACTTCAAAAAACATTCNAAAAAAATTAATTTAATTCATCTTGTATAGGGTGTGGGAAGTGGAAAAACGCAATTCTGAGCCGTCTATATCTGCCTATACGGAACCCAAATTTCCTCAGGAATCGAATGGAATAGGTTTTAAGGCTCTATCTCTCATAGTTTCCGAAATAATCGCGAAAAACGAAAGTGCCAAAAAAAATTAATTTAATTCATCTTGTATAAGGCCTAGGAAGTGGAAAAACGCAATTCTGAGCCATCCACAGTCAGCTTTTATTAAAAATTTACGGAAATTGAGGAATTATTATTTTTCACCTGTTGAAAAATTTGGAATTCCATTGAATTTCCAGTGAAATCTAAAATTTCATGATTTCTCTCTCTGAATAAAATTCAATGTCATTCTCCTGAAAATTACCACTCAACAATCCTTGAACTTTTAACTTCTCTCTAATATTCAATTTGCTTCTTTTCTCATCGTGTCAAAGGTTTCCATTCTACTACGAAATCAAGATAATTCTCGTTCTCTGGCTTCTAAGCCCAGCAACAAAGGGTTCAAGTATTCTCTACCGACGTTTTGTACACCCAGCATTGATAAGACGTGAAGCTGAGATTGATGATGCCCTAGCGAGGGCAACCGAGCAAGGCTACACAGCTGTTCTTCATCTCGGCACAAAAGGTGTCAATTATGCCACAACAGTACTGATGCAGACGGCTATTAAGGTAATTATTTCACAATCACCCTGATTTTGTCTGTACCAAGATAATGCGTGATTTTCTTGCTAGAATAGCAACAGATAACACGCAATCAGCTTGTCCACATTTCATATTATTTACATTTTTCTTTTTTTCTTTTTTTCTTTCAATTTACCCTCGCATTCCCATTAAAACCAAAACAATCATCGTCGATCATCGCAATCAATTAACAAAAAACAATCATGGTTAACTCGCTTGATTGATGGGTCATCCTCATAATTTAACGCAAAAATTAAAACAAAAAAAAAACCAAAAAACCAAGAATTTGCCGAATGCACTGCTGAATCCTCAAAGCACGAGTCCACCAGAGAGCCAATCAGACCCGGCGATTTCTAGCTTAGTCAACCGTACATCGCCGATGAAAAGCGAAACGAGGAAGGACAGCGGGGACAGTACTTCTGGTCGTCAACGAAGTCAGAGTGATAAAACCAAGGATACCAATGACAGCCCAATGATTGTTATCGAGCCGTCCTCCGACGACGATGGACAGGAGGATTTTGTTTTCAAGGACGATGAGACACCGATTTTCGAGGATTTCAAGGCACCTGAGAAGCCGAAGAAGACACGACGTGTGACACGTCGTAAAGCAAATGCATCACCCAAGAAAGATGTGCGATGCTACGATGCTGAGTACAGTGATGGCACTGATGCTTAAGCGTATGTCGGTTATATGAAACGAAAATTGGAATGATGGGACAAAATTTTTTATGAATTTAAAGACTCAGAGAGATCATTCGTCAGTTCAGTGATGCTGAACTGCATTCGAAGGGTCTTTCATCTCGTCTTTTAATGAATTTATGTATGATTGATAAGAAATTATAGGATAAGAGTGATTAAAGAAAATAGAACAATTGTTTCCAGTCATGAAATCATTGAATAATAAGACTGAGGCAAGGATGAATGGGTTGATCAATGTTGTTAAATCATCGGTGAATGAATTAGTGTCTCGTGTGGAGTTTCCACTCTTAAAAAATCAATTTTTCAATCAATGAGATGATGTAATCATGAATTATTGTGCCACCGAGTGCCTTTTGTAACTCAATGTGATAGAAGCTTTTCTGAGTAATCCTCATCAATTTATGATAGATGATAATTAATGTCACATTTTTCATGTTACCAATTATAATTTCTCAAGTGAATTAAATTATCAGTTATCTTTTTTTCTCATCTGTAATTTATAAAACTGGATTGTTGAGTAATTAACGTATGTAATAGGTTTTTATAATCCAAAGATGATTGAACTATCGAATTATAATATAAAATACAAGAATAAATTTACTTTTAACGTCATGCCAAGTGACTTTGTCTTCATCATATCGCTTAATGCTTCAATTACCCTGTTATTCAGCTATTTACATTATTACGAGGTGAATTTTATATGAACTTGAGCCTGATACATGAAGCACTGTAAATAGATGGACCTGGTACATACAGAATTAGATAGAGATTTAGAAAACACTGGTAGCCCAGCTGCAGATTGAAATATGCACCAATTATAAAAAGCACTCACACCTAGAGATGTTACCAATTCTAATGCGCGCCTGGTGATGGCAGATAACTCATTAACATTTTTAGTTCGTTGGTAAGACTTTATTTTATTTCAGTTTTAATTATTTCATTCATTCAAATTCATTTGGAATTTTTAATTGATATTTTATCCTTCTTCACCTCAGCCTTAACGATCACAAATGTGGTTTAAAATGAGAGAAAAAGAGAGAGAGAGAACTCAAGACGAGTTCGAAGTTTACCATTCAGATCTTCAGTGGGAGAAAGGAAATATAAAAAAGTTAGTTTATTTCTCATTTTTGCGAGGAATGACGGTTTATCAATTCGAGGAGATACGAAAAATTGTTGGGGGTTGGGTTTGAACCCTCAACCCTTGGGTTTCGAGTTTGAACCTGGTTGATATAATAAAAAAAAGTTGATAAATTTAGTGACTTTCGTGGCTGAGGTGCAGTAGAGGAGAAAAAATACGTGCGAACAAATTGCACAGACAAACCTGGTGATTTCGTTTGAAAATTCTATGGGATTTCTATTGAATTCTTTAGTTGTTAAACGTTTAACGGAAAATCTTCTGTAAAAAAAATTAATAGAAATCGATTTTCCTACACAACTTATTCTATTGATATACTGTCTACAGAAATTCCTCGGCGCAAATTTTCCAAGTTTTTTTTTTATGAAAAAAGAAGAAAAATAGAGTGAAAAAAAATGGAAAATTCATTTCAGTTCATTCATCATTGAATAGTTGTAAAGATAAAATTTTACTGATTTTTTCTGTAAAACAATTTCATTGAAAATTTATATTAAAAAACGCACATTTAATGTAAGTTTAATAGAAATCCAATAGAATTGGCTATGAAATTCGCTCGGTTTCGATGTTTTCCCAATTTTTTTCGTGCGTATATTTAATTTATTCATCAACGAATGAGCAAGGTGTTCATCCGGATAATTGTCGAATGCCTGTGGAATTTTTCAGGGCGGAGGTGGATTAGTACAGCAGCTAAAAAAGAGCTACAGTCTGAGTGATTTGACGGGTGAAAAGGAGGATGAAAATAGAAATACATCAGCGATGCATGACGAGACAGACATGACAGGTACACAGCGAAAATTGCTCGGGTTCATCGGCTGACGGGAAATTTATAACTCGGGGGGATTAATTATTCTTGGGGGGTGGGTGTTTTTTTTCAGTGGAACCTCGTCGGAGAGAGCATCCTGGGAGACGTGGATACAGTCCTAGGCGGACGCAATCGAATTGCAATAGAGTGGAGATGTATTTTTCGGAGGTGGATGTTGATGTCAGACAACCGAGGCCTAGAGATCCAATAGCTAGCTTAACGTAAGTCCTTTGGGAGAACTTTTCACCATTTTAGTGAAAATTGGGAAAAAGGGAGGTAAAACGAAGCTTCTTAAATCGTCAATACACTCAGAGAACTGGTTCAATAAATAGTTTTGCAAGTGTGAATAGATATTTTCTTGATATTAAAAATTACGACGATCTAATATAGTCAATTCCACCTCCAACAGTAATATTAGGTCATCCGACGACATATCCAGTGGCTACAGCAGTGGGGAAGCACTCCAAACCCACCGCATGACCCCCCACACCGAATCACTCCTCAGGACATCGAGTGTAGGTGCGAGAACGAGGTCATCGAAACCCCGGGCAGCAACGAAAAAAGCCCCAGAGGTTGGTAAAAAAAAATTCCCCAATCCCCCCTCCCTCTCTTGAACCCTCAATTTACGTCCGGAGAAATTGAATGATTGAGACGCATAGTCACTGAAATTTCTGGGATTTGAAGGATGAAGAGGAAGATTGGGAGTTGGCACCGGGGTCCAATCAATTACCCCTGACACTATCTGAAATAAGTGCTAAACAAGCCCTGGAGCTTTTATTCCTTCTCTCCCGAGTTAACGTCCCCCGTAGTTGGTCAGAGCCAAAATTGACTGAAATACAGGAAAACCAGACTGACTCTAGGAGCGAGGAGATATTCTGTGACGCCTCCTCATCGGGGCATGTCACAATTCACGAGGAAATGGTAGAAATCTCACAAGTCGATTCTGAAAAGACTGAAGACAGCCTCAGCCCTTCCAAAGGCTCTCCATCAGAGGTACTAAAACGTCTCGAAGATACTCCCGGAGAGCTGAGCCAAATAGACATGACGAAAATAACGGAAGAAATATGTCAGGAGAAGATGTCAGAGCTGAAGAGGCTCCTGAGTAATGCCCAGAGCGCGGTATCGAGTCTTGCGAATTCCCAGGAAGACTTGAGAATTGAATCTGAAGTCGATTGCGAAGCGATGGAGTGTCCCGATGTGAATCCTGCGGAGGTCTGGACAACGCCAGACACTTCGCGAAGTTATTCAGAGAGCAACGATAGGGCGGGAAAGTACAACAAGAAGCCAGCGCCGAGGGTGCCAGTGGCGTACACTCATGAGCAGCAGGAGGAGATGGAGGAGAAAGCCCTCAGGGCAACACTTGTCCTCAAACCCGGTACCGTAAAGACTCTCACGCATATCGATAATGCAGTGAAAAGTGTCCCTGCTAATCCTGCATCACCATTAAGTACTAAAAAAAGGGGGAAAGTTAAGGATGGCCTTTCCAGATTCCTGGCTATGCCTAAGAATTTATTTCACACAACTTTCCACAAGGATCAGCGCGAGGATGATAGCGGCTCTGTGTCGACGAGATCGAGATCAACGAGTCTTGATTTGCAGGATGGTAGATTTCATTTGAACGCTGATGCGAGGATTCAAGAGTCGAGTGAAAAAAATCCACGCGATGTAGCTTCGTCGGGTTCGTTGGATTCATATCAGGAATTGCGTGAGAGTGAAATGAGAAAAAACGTGCAGTTGGAGCACACGTTTCGGTCTTCATTATTCATACTAATATCTTTTCTTCGTGTAACTTGTGGGGCTGAGGATGTTTTAATTAACTGGTTTGATGGGTTTGGTTTGATCTACGTGTGATGACTGGCAGCGGGGAGTCGGAAAAATTTCGTGGAGAAAACTTTGTCAAGATGTCTGGTTGAATGAAAATTCATTCTGTTTGTTTTTGCGGTTATTTTTGGTGGAAATTTGCATATTTGCAGTTTTTTAATATTTAACAGGAAATCAGTGGATTTCGATAAATTTAGACAATTACTTGCTTCAGAGTTTTTCAACTGTATTTTTTCGGTTCAACGTTATAAAAATAAAAGAGGCATTTAGAAAATTGATACCCAATAATTCATGCAAAGGAAGAACTTGTTCCATTTGAAATTAAAAAAAAAAAGATTTCATTTCTTATTTGGGCTGAAATGTGGTTTAAATCAATTTGAGAAAATGCGAAAAATCGCGGGAAGTTGAGCCTTTAGACTTCTTCGTAAAATTTCACCAGAATTTTTCCACACGAAATTTTTTTGCCGTATTTTTTTTGTCCTCAGGTTGTTTGGAAGGATTTTTTTTAATCGCTTTTTTTTAGATGTGGACCTTGCCATCCCATTGCTCAAATGAGTCCATTTATCCATTGAAAAAAGTCCCAAAAATCGAGTGGTTGATGAGTCTGTGTTTTCGATTTCTAGATCACCAGCTTTGCGACTCTCCCCCGGAGCAAAAAGACAACCTCTAAGAAGAAGGTGCCATGAGACACGAAAAGTGGTCGTTACATTAGAGAAGAGAGTGATTCACTCGTACCAGTATGAGCGATATTTGTCATCGCTGCTGATAATTCTTACTCTACGCATTGAAGGATCGCACAAAGTATTTCTGTGGGATCAGCTGAATAAACTCAACGGCCAAAAACGCGCAATAAAAAATTTTTTCAATATCACGTCATGCCATTTCAGTTTAACGGGTTGAGATCATTCATGGAGCGTGACGCTTTTTTTATTCATCGGATGTACTATGGGTTTTGTTTGAACACTACGCTTTATCGATGCTCATGTGTGAGCGAAATCATAATGCTCATGTACAATAGATGCAGTGAGGAAAAAATTATTGAAATGGGAAGGTATTCTCCGACATTTAGTCATTTTTTCAGCATCGCATATCTCTATACCAAAACAATTTATGCTTTGTATTGTAATTTTTAATGGATGTGTAGGCCACACGGAAAACGATGAGAGAATTTTTTATTTGGGTATTTTACTATTTTTTGCCTAGGGGATGAAACAACTCTGTTTTTAGGGAATATTCACACTGTTGAAGAATAAATTTCATGACGAGTTGACCTGTAATTTTCAGGAGAGCGCAATAAAACTCGATGTAGGGAGAAAGAAATCCTTAAATTTCAGGGGAACTAAAAAATGTTTAACAGTGTAGCATTTTTCTAGGCAAAAGCGTCTAAAATATGATCGAAGACGGATAAAACACCCTAAGGGTTGGCCCTCACCGTTCAATGTATGAAGATTGATGAAAAATACTTGTGATATGTTAACCGAATCGAGGGATTGACTGGATACTTCATTTAAAAAATAGACGAAAAATGGAGGCTCTTAGGAATGATTCTAGTCAGCTCGAATTTTTCTAGGATCAGCGAGCAACTAGATAGACGTTATTTCTAAAGAAATATTTACGTGTAAAAATGAACTTCATTGGAGAAACGCAATGAGTGAGTGATTTGACGATTTTTTGTTCTTGAATTTTTGTTTCTAACAGGATTTTTTCTATTAAAAATTTTGACGAGCAATTTTTTGAAATAAATAATATTCTGCTCTTGTGGGCCTGTCGGCAAAGCTCGTTGAATGGCCTCGGCAATAAAAAAATACTAAAATGTAGGGAAAATTGCGCCATGAATTTTCAGCCAAAAGGGGATAAAAAAATTTGAAGAATAGCTTTAAACATTTGTTCCTTTTTTAGTTTCCATTTACTCCATGAAATGGGTGGAGGGTGACCTGAAGAGGATAAACAGTTTCGAGAAATGTTAAAAAATACGAGGTGGTTCACAGCTGTGAACGCCGCCATCTTACGTGGAAACCGCCAGGGACTTTAAGATGGCGGCGCCCTCACCTCGCATTTTCAAACACTTCATAGAATTATTTAAGCTCCTCAGATCACTCTCCACTCATTTCATGCAGTTCCTAAAAAGGAACAAATGATTAAAGCTATTCTTCAAATTTTTTCATCCTTTTTCGGCCGAGAATTCATGGAGTAGTTTTTCCCGCATTTCAGTATTGGATTTTTTACGCCCGAGGCCTTGTAATGACTGCATGAATTTATCGTGTAAATGATTAGTGTGAATGAATTATCGGTGGATTTGACGCACAATTTTCATGTTCTCGATTGAATACGTAAATAAAGGGGAGGGAAATTGTTTAAGAAACGTTGAGAGATTTGGGTGTATATATTTTATGGTTGTATGTTCTTAGTATCGTTTATCCACGTTTAAATGTGAAACATGAACATATTATAGAAGACATATATGCGAAATAAGAAAGGGTAGGGCAAGTGGGGTAAAATGGACACTTGACTTTTTAAAATTTTAATAACACGTTGAATTGTTACTGAAATGGGATAATTTTTTTTTCATGGAACGTACAATTCTTTTTCTTTGGGATGAGTCAGATAGAAGTAGATTGTCTTATTGAGAAATCCGTTTCTAAGTTATGAACATTGAACAAAATGTCAAAAGTGCCAGTTTTGCCCCACACTCGCCCCTTTAATTTGTAAAGTTCGATTTGTTAATCCATCAATTGATATTTTAGGTCATTAAATGTGATCATATACTGTCTTAAGAAGATACTAACTCTCTAATCATCATCCATGCGTATCGTTAAACATAGGTAGCTAGTAATCATTTTTTATGCATGACTGCAGACTTAGGAGAATGAAATATCGAGTTGTGAAAATTAATATTAAAATTGAAAAGAAAAAACCAAGTATTACGAATTAAGTATCACGAGATTGTAATGATCCTCATTTTTGCGGGGGAAGAATTTGAATTTGAAAATTAAATGACGAGTCCTTCGGGCTCCTGGTGCTACCGATACTCGCTTCTTGTTCATTTTTCACGTTTTCATTTTATACATGTATAAATGTTGGCTATTTAGATGCGTTAACGATAACTAATTACGGAGAGAATTAAGAATTGAATTATTGTGAGAGGAGAATTGTAATGAGGTTTTTGAGGAAATGTGAGTGAAATGTTGTGTTCTTGGCACTTGTGTATTGAATAAAAAATAGGGAATTATCATCTTTACTTTGGCGTTTCACTCATTTGTATTCGGAAGTGCCAGAAATGTTGAAATGAAATTTTTTTTTTCACCCGGAGCCAAAGTGTCAGATCTTGGTATTTTTTCAGGTGGAAAATCGACTTTCGCCAAAATCGAATTTTTTAGCCGGGTGAACGTTGATTCCAACTATTTAAGCGACGGGCTATTCAGAACTCTCAAAAGTATGTGGAAAAAGTGAAAACTGAAAAAGTCTTTTTTTTTCAGATTTTCAAAGAGTCAGATTTTCCGGATTTTCAGGGGGAAAGTCGACTTTCGCCAAAATCGAATTTTTTAGCCGGGTGAACGTTGATTCCAACTATTTAAGCGACGGGCTATTCAGAACTCTCAAAAGTATGTGGAAAAAGTGAAAACTGAAAAAGTTTTTTTTTCAGATTTTCAAAGAGTCAGATCTTCCGGGTTTCCAGGGGGAAAGTCGACTTTCGCCAAAGTCGAATTTTTTAGCCGGGTGAACGGTGATTCTAACTATTTAAGCGACGGGCTATTCAGAACTCTCAAAAGTATGTGGAAAAAGTGAAAACTGAAAAAGTTTTTTTTTTCAGATTTTCAAAGAGTCAGATTTTCCGGTTTTCCAAGGGGAAAGTCGACTTTCGCCAAAATCGAATTTTTTTGCCGGGTGAACGTTGATTTTATACCTACTAACGATTCTGATGCCAATGAAACCTTCGGAGGAGCGAGAAGTGTCGAAATAAAAAAATTTTTTTTTTCACCCGGAGCCAATGTGTCAGATCTTGGATTTTTTCAGAGGGAAAGTCGACTTTCGGCAAAACCAAATTTCTTCATCAATTGAATGTTGATTCTTAATTAGTTCGTCTTTAGTTTTTTTAAATTACTTAATCAATTGAGTAATTCTTAAACACTGCAAAATGCATTTAATTCATCTGCTAACGAATTACAAGTGATTTACCATCGTCATTTGTTTATAAATCTAATCTAATTTCTACAAATCGCAAATTTCAGCAGGAAAAGAAGACACAAGGACCATTTATCTCATTTATCTCATCTGTACAGTAGCCTTCACTTCCACTTATCTCAATCGTTATCAACGATTTTCCTATTCTCAGATAATGTGATTTGCTGCATCCAACCATTCCCATTCAATAAAAAAAAAAATACTTCTGAGTCATTATTAGTTATCACAGCAATTTATTCAAAAAACAAAAAAATTGAATGAGTTAACAGCAAAATTCAGTCTACGTTGTCTTAAAATTTATTTCAACATTTCAAGAGATCTTGCAAGAAAGAAATGATTCCTTCTCTGCTGAAAATTGAGAACTACCAGAATTCTCTAAATTGATAAAATCAACTGATAAGGCAAGTATTAAAAACAATTGCAGGTTATGATCATCTGTCACAAATGTCTTCATCTCTTTCACAGTCAGTTCACTTGCTATTGCAGTTATTTTCAAATGTTTGACTGTTCATAATTCATTTCCATTGTTGAATAATGATCCGAAGTCTAGTGATTTTGAATGGATTGTGCAGGTAATATAAAAAAATATAATAAACACCAATTCGAAGTGTTCTTTTTTTAAAAATGAAATCAAGTTAATTTCAGGTCTCAACAATTTAGTTCAATCAGACTTGTATCGACAGTAATGAATCCTCTAGTAGCGGTATGTCAAATGACGTCGACAGCTGACAAACAGAAGAATTTCGAAGTTGTTAGGAATTTGGTAGTTCAAGCTAAAGAACGTAAAGCCCAAGTATGTACATCTCCTCCTGATTTATAACACCTGAATCGAATAAAAATCTTTACTTGAAATTAAGTTTTATCATTTCAATATTGGATTGAAAGGAGGCGTAACAATAAATTCATAGTAATTTCAATGAAGATGTTTTAATAATATAAAACAAATATTCAATTAATTATTACACATTAATAAATTTGTTTCTTTCCCGTCCAAAGAGTAATTTCAGTTCGATTTGATAAGTAATTAATTGAAATCAAAATTTGTTTATTGAGAAAAAAATCGAATACAAATGAACTTTTGAAGAAAAGCTCTACTACAAGATATTTAAATGAATCATTCGCAGATAGCTTTTTTCCCCGAAGCTTGCGACTACCTGGCGGACAATAAAAAAGACATAGTGGCCTTCAGCGAGCCCCTGACAGGCCCCACAGTATCCAAATACAAATCTCTAGCTGCAGAGCATGACATTTGGTTGTCACTGGGTGGACTGCACGAACGGCAGTCAGAGGGCTCCGAAAAAATCTCAAATACTCATGTTCTGATAAATAATGAAGGGTCCATTGTTGCTGCATACAGAAAAATCCATTTATTTGATATGGATAATAAAGATACCGGGGTACGATTGATGGAGTCTGATTACGTGGTGCCAGGGGGTGAGATAATTCCGCCAGTTTCGACGCCTTGTGGGAGAATTGGACTGAGCATTGTATCCTTGAATTCAAATTTATGAATTTATGAATTTGGTAACAAGTAGGGGGAGAAAATATTGTCTAATGAAGAAATTTATACTTCGTTCAACAATTTTAAAGTCATTCTATTTAATAATTTTGAAATAATTAATTTTTTCTCGCAGTTCTTCATTCGACAGTAAATAAAATGCTTGAAGGAAGTGTGAAAAATTTGCTTATATGCAATATAAACATACGATGAAAATGATGCGTTCGATCGATGCATAAAAAATGCCAAAAAATCCTTAACAAAATGTCAGTGCTACGACATGCGATTCCCCGAGTTATCCCTGACCCTTCGAAAATCAGGAGCTGAAATCCTGACATTCCCTTCAGCATTTACGTATCAAACCGGTGCTGCACACTGGGAGGTTCTCCTGCGAGCCCGAGCGATCGAGACCCAGTGCTACGTCGTAGCAGCAGCTCAAACTGGCTCTCACAACAAGAAGCGAACCAGTTGGGGTCATGCAATGGTAAATAAAAGTTCTCGATGCTACGAACATTGTCTAGTATTCAAATTTATCCAGTACACATTCACATTGATTCATTGCCCATTGATGTCTTATTTTTCAGATTGTTGACCCCTGGGGTGCAGTTGTCGCACAGTGTCCGGAAAAAACAGGCATTGCAGTTGCCGAAATCGATTTGAATTTGATAGAGACCGTTCGTAGAAATATGCCCTGTGAGAATCACCGTAGAACGGATTTGTACCCCTCGATGAACTTCTCCAGTTGATGATCTTACGATAAATAAGAGAAAAGGATTGTTTTCATGGATTTTCCAAGTTTTTACACTACACTGGTAATTTTCTCCGATTTAACTCAAGCGAATTAATTCACGAAGATTAATTCAGAAAACAGTAGTTTTCTGAGGAATGGGGGCATGCAATGGTGAATAAAATTCCTCAATTCAATCATCACTAGCTATTATTCACATTTATACAATACACATTCACATCTTTGCACATTGATGTTTTATTCCTCAGATTGTTGACCCCTGGGGTTCTGTTATTGCACAGTGTGCAAAAAAAACAGGCATTGCGATTGCCGAAATTGATCTAAATTTATTAGAAACAGTTCGTAGAAATAGGTCCTGTGAGAATCATCGTAGAACGGATTTGTACCCCTCGATGGACTTCTCCAGTTGATGATCTTACGATAAATAAGAGAAAAGGATTGTTTCCATGGATTTTCTAAGTTTTTACACTACACTGGTAATTTTCTCCGATTTAACTCAAGCGAATTAATTCACGAAGATTAATTCAGAAAACAGTAGTTTTCTGAGGAATGGGGGCATGCAATGGTGAATAAAATTCCTCAATTCAATCATCACTAGCTATTATTCACATTTATACAATACACATTCACATCTTTGCACATTGATGTTTTATTCCTCAGATTGTTGACCCCTGGGGTTCTGTTATTGCACAGTGTGCGAAAAAAACAGGCATTGCGATTGCCGAAATTGATCTAAATTTATTAGAAACAGTTCGTAGAAATAGGTCCTGTGAGAATCATCGTAGAACGGATTTGTACCCCTCGATGGACTTCTCCAGTTGATGATCTTACGATAAATAAGAAAAAAGGATTGTTTCCATGGATTTTCTAAGTTTTTACACTACACTGGTAATTTTCTCCGATTTAACTCAAGCGAATTAATTCACGAAGATTAATTCAGAAAACAGTAGTTTTCTGAGGAATGGGGGCATGCAATGGTGAATAAAATTCCTCAATTCAATCATCACTAGCTATTATTCACATTTATACAATACACATTCACATCTTTGCACATTGATGTTTTATTCCTCAGATTGTTGACCCCTGGGGTTCTGTTATTGCACAGTGTGCAAAAAAAACAGGCATTACGATTGCCGAAATTGATCTAAATTGATTAGAAACAGTTCGTAGAAATAGGTCCTGTGAGAATCATCGTAGAACGGATTTGTACCCCTCGATGGACTTCTCCAGTTGATGATCTTACGATAAATAAGAAAAAAGGATTGTTTCCATGGATTTTCTAAGTTTTTACACTACACTGGTAATTTTCTCCGATTTAACTCAAGCGAATTAATTCACGAAGATTAATTCAGAAAACAGTAGTTTTCTGAGGAATGGGGGCATGCAATGGTGAATAAAATTCCTCAATTCAATCATCACTAGCTATTATTCACATTTATACAATACACATTCACATCTTTGCACATTGATGTTTTATTCCTCAGATTGTTGACCCCTGGGGTTCTGTTATTGCACAGTGTGCGAAAAAAACAGGCATTGCGATTGCCGAAATTGATCTAAATTTATTAGAAACAGTTCGTAGAAATAGGTCCTGTGAGAATCATCGTAGAACGGATTTGTACCCCTCGATGGACTTCTCCAGTTGATGATCTTACGATAAATAAGAAAAAAGGATTGTTTCCATGGATTTTCTAAGTTTTTACACTACACTGGTAATTTTCTCCGATTTAACTCAAGCGAATTAATTCACGAAGATTAATTCAGAAAACAGTAGTTTTCTGAGGAATGGGGGCATGCAATGGTGAATAAAATTCCTCAATTCAATCATCACTAGCTATTATTCACATTTATACAATACACATTCACATCTTTGCACATTGATGTTTTATTCCTCAGATTGTTGACCCCTGGGGTTCTGTTATTGCACAGTGTGCGAAAAAAACAGGCATTGCGATTGCCGAAATTGATCTAAATTTATTAGAAACAGTTCGTAGAAATAGGTCCTGTGAGAATCATCGTAGAACGGATTTGTACCCCTCGATGGACTTCTCCAGTTGATGATCTTACGATAAATAAGAAAAAAGGATTGTTTCCATGGATTTTCTAAGTTTTTACACTACACTGGTAATTTTCTCCGATTTAACTCAAGCGAATTAATTCACGAAGATTAATTCAGAAAACAGTAGTTTTCTGAGGAATGGGGGCATGCAATGGTGAATAAAATTCCTCAATTCAATCATCACTAGCTATTATTCACATTTATACAATACACATTCACATCTTTGCACATTGATGTTTTATTCCTCAGATTGTTGACCCCTGGGGTTCTGTTATTGCACAGTGTGCGAAAAAAACAGGCATTGCGATTGCCGAAATTGATCTAAATTTATTAGAAACAGTTCGTAGAAATAGGTCCTGTGAGAATCATCGTAGAACGGATTTGTACCCCTCGATGGACTTCTCCAGTTGATGATCTTACGATAAATAAGAAAAAAGGATTGTTTCCATGGATTTTCTAAGTTTTTACACTACACTGGTAATTTTCTCCGATTTAACTCAAGCGAATTAATTCACGAAGATTAATTCAGAAAACAGTAGTTTTCTGAGGAATGGGGGCATGCAATGGTGAATAAAATTCCTCAATTCAATCATCACTAGCTATTATTCACATTTATACAATACACATTCACATCTTTGCACATTGATGTTTTATTCCTCAGATTGTTGACCCCTGGGGTTCTGTTATTGCACAGTGTGCGAAAAAAACAGGCATTGCGATTGCCGAAATTGATCTAAATTTATTAGAAACAGTTCGTAGAAATAGGTCCTGTGAGAATCATCGTAGAACGGATTTGTACCCCTCGATGGACTTCTCCAGTTGATGATCTTACGATAAATAAGAAAAAAGGATTGTTTCCATGGATTTTCTAAGTTTTTACACTACACTGGTAATTTTCTCCGATTTAACTCAAGCGAATTAATTCACGAAGATTAATTCAGAAAACAGTAGTTTTCTGAGGAATGGGGGCATGCAATGGTGAATAAAATTCCTCAATTCAATCATCACTAGCTATTATTCACATTTATACAATACACATTCACATCTTTGCACATTGATGTTTTATTCCTCAGATTGTTGACCCCTGGGGTTCTGTTATTGCACAGTGTGCGAAAAAAACAGGCATTGCGATTGCCGAAATTGATCTAAATTTATTAGAAACAGTTCGTAGAAATAGGTCCTGTGAGAATCATCGTAGAACGGATTTGTACCCCTCGATGGACTTCTCCAGTTGATGATCTTACGATAAATAAGAAAAAAGGATTGTTTCCATGGATTTTCTAAGTTTTTACACTACACTGGTAATTTTCTCCGATTTAACTCAAGCGAATTAATTCACGAAGATTAATTCAGAAAACAGTAGTTTTCTGAGGAATGGGGGCATGCAATGGTGAATAAAATTCCTCAATTCAATCATCACTAGCTATTATTCACATTTATACAATACACATTCACATCTTTGCACATTGATGTTTTATTCCTCAGATTGTTGACCCCTGGGGTTCTGTTATTGCACAGTGTGCGAAAAAAACAGGCATTGCGATTGCCGAAATTGATCTAAATTTATTAGAAACAGTTCGTAGAAATAGGTCCTGTGAGAATCATCGTAGAACGGATTTGTACCCCTCGATGGACTTCTCCAGTTGATGATCTTACGATAAATAAGAAAAAAGGATTGTTTCCATGGATTTTCTAAGTTTTTACACTACACTGGTAATTTTCTCCGATTTAACTCAAGCGAATTAATTCACGAAGATTAATTCAGAAAACAGTAGTTTTCTGAGGAATGGGGGCATGCAATGGTGAATAAAATTCCTCAATTCAATCATCACTAGCTATTATTCACATTTATACAATACACATTCACATCTTTGCACATTGATGTTTTATTCCTCAGATTGTTGACCCCTGGGGTTCTGTTATTGCACAGTGTGCAAAAAAAACAGGCATTGCGATTGCCGAAATTGATCTAAATTTATTAGAAACAGTTCGTAGAAATAGGTCCTGTGAGAATCATCGTAGAACGGATTTGTACCCCTCGATGGACTTCTCCAGTTGATGATCTTACGATAAATAAGAGAAAAGGATTGTTTCCATGGATTTTCTAAGTTTTTACACTACACTGGTAATTTTCTCCGATTTAACCCAAGCGAATTAATTCACGAAGATTAATTCAGAAAACAGTAGTTTTCTGAGGAATGGGGGCATGCAATGGTGAATAAAATTCCTCAATTCAATCATCACTAGCTATTATTCACATTTATACAATACACATTCACATCTTTGCACATTGATGTTTTATTCCTCAGATTGTTGACCCCTGGGGTTCTGTTATTGCACAGTGTGCGAAAAAAACAGGCATTGCGATTGCCGAAATTGATCTAAATTTATTAGAAACAGTTCGTAGAAATAGGTCCTGTGAGAATCATCGTAGAACGGATTTGTACCCCTCGATGGACTTCTCCAGTTGATGATCTTACGATAAATAAGAAAAAAGGATTGTTTCCATGGATTTTCTAAGTTTTTACACTACACTGGTAATTTTCTCCGATTTAACTCAAGCGAATTAATTCACGAAGATTAATTCAGAAAACAGTAGTTTTCTGAGGAATGGGGGCATGCAATGGTGAATAAAATTCCTCAATTCAATCATCACTAGCTATTATTCACATTTATACAATACACATTCACATCTTTGCACATTGATGTTTTATTCCTCAGATTGTTGACCCCTGGGGTTCTGTTATTGCACAGTGTGCAAAAAAAACAGGCATTGCGATTGCCGAAATTGATCTAAATTTATTAGAAACAGTTCGTAGAAATAGGTCCTGTGAGAATCATCGTAGAACAAATTTGCAACCCTCGATGAACCCCTCGAGCTGATGAACTTACGATAAATAGGATAAAACGATCGTCTCCAATTACAAGATTTAAATAAAATTAATTGAACATTATTATTGAATTGTGATAGTATTAATGATATCGGTAGGGTCAGTTGACCTTACTTTGGTGATAAAGATTTTCGCTAAATTCCCCTCTGGATTGGATACCAGACAACTCGAGGTCGACACCAGTCAACGCCCAGTTGTGATCGCAGATTTCGAGAGCCTCCCATTCGGCCTTGAAGGCGGCTTTGGGGTCTGGTGGCATCGACATGGCAGCTCCTGAGACCTGGTCTTGGAGGAGGCGTGAGGTGTCTGCTGCGTTGTTCTCACCGAGGACTAGGGTGTAGATCGACCTGAGACCGAAGACGTTGAGGAAGTACCAGGAGGCTGATGACACCCAGGCTGCGTCCAGGGTTTGCAGCTCGACGCCTCGTTGCAGCATCGGTTTGAAGCGAAGGGTCAGGGGGAATGGCACTTTGGCTGCAAAAGATTTTTAATTCATGAGAATACACTTCGAAAAAGTCTTGAGTTCGAGCGACCGTTTAGTTGAAATTTCAAGAAATCGAAAATTCGTCAGTAAAATTCACAGGAATTATCTTTCTGCTACACAAAAAATTGAAATTTCGTAATCTTTTCTTGGCAATTCCTGTCAATTGATAACTTGATTCAAGTTTCAAGGAATTCCAATTCATTTGGAATTCACATTTGATGTAAAAATCTATGAAAATTGTCTGTTTCAGTTCAATTATTCCATGAAAATTGATGGAAATCTGAAAAACTCAAGTAAATATATTTTTGAATTTCCAATTAACTGAAAATTGTGCACAATTTGGTGAAGAATATTCATGTTTTGATAAGGAATTCAGGGAAGTTGGAGAATTACTATTATTCTATTTGCAACTCAATTAAAAAATTGAGAACCTACTCGTAACAAAACCAGAGAACATCCAATTGATCCATCCTCCGATGAGAACCATTGGCAGAACATTGGTGACGTTCCCTTTAAGCATGTCAGTCATCATGCTAGGATCCGTCATTGGATTTTGTGACACTGGTGCTCGCTTTTGGGTCTTGAAATAACCAGTCTCCTCATTATTGAAGAAGTGACGTCTGACTAGAAACGCTGATTTCGGAATGTACTGGCCGTTTTCTCTGAGTAGCCTTGAGCGAATCATCACTTGACTGACAAAAATCCCAGAATTAACCACACGGAAAATATATTTTTAATAATGTGTCGTTAGCCCATATCACATATTATTATTATTATTATTATTATTATTATTATTATTATTATTATTATTATTATTATTAAGTATGAAATAATTTAATGGAAAAACCTGGAGTTTCCCCTAACAAATTCTATTGAAAAATTCAATTATTTTTTGTGTTAATTCTATTAAAAATTATGCAACATACCCGGGCATTTTTACATAGCTATTTGTTTATTTAAAAAAGTCTGTATGTGTTTTTTCCATATCACATATTCTGTTGGCATTTTTTTTATAAGAATATTCTTGGGCACAAATTTTCAAAGTTTTTTTCAGATTTCATTATGAGAGACAATTAAAAATATAGCGGAAAAAAATTGGAAAATTTACGCCCAAGAATTTCTATAGGAAAATGAAAAACCATCGAATTGTCCTATTAAATATCTCTTAATAAAATGATAGAGTAAAGTTGTATAATCTCCTACAGAAATGACGCAAATAACAAATAAATTTTTTCAATAGACAGAATTTGAAGAGAATTCTTACCGACGCCCAATCGAAAATCCATAAAATTTCTTTTCCATTGAACTTTTGTCATGCGTGACATTAGACTGATATTTTAAATAAGGAATTGTATTTTAAATTGAAATTTAGTGAACACATGACATATCTATTTTTTATATTTTTTTCCATCGTAATGACAATTCCAGAATTCAGAGATAAATCCACAGTATCACTCAAATTATTCCAATAAAGAACACGTAGTCAAAGTTAATTGAAAGTAACCTAAAATTACCTGTCTTGCACCTGATGAATTTCCACTTTTTTCTGTGAAGCCAGTAAAATGGACACATAATGTCGAATAATCCCGACGAGAAACGTGATGACAACTATTGGAAGGAACACCCATCCTCGGATATTAGGGTCTAGCAATAATTCTGCCATGATGTGAATGTGGCAGTCCCTGATCTACCGTTTCTACACAACAAACCCACATACGATTGATAATTGATTCTAGAATTCGTCGGAGCCTCGGAACAGAGCTGGGGAATGCAGACGTCGACTTGGTCGGCGTGGTACCCTCGGTTGCCACCGCAGATATTCGTCGATACGCCTGTTCCCCAGGGATAATAATGAAGCGTGGATCCCCACGTTATCCTCAGTTGGCGAAGAATCGCGGGTTGTTCACCGCCACCGCCCCAGGTGATTCGAATCAAATCAATTATGAATCATAACCCACGATTTACGATCGACACTTCACCCACGTAACCCAACTAACACTCGTGGTTGGGTCTATTTGTCTCGGACAATCAATCTCATCTGTTCCTCCTTCCCTCCCACCTTTCTCGATAATTTATCGCTTATAACGCGCATACCTCGGGCTGCCTCCCGCACCCAGTGCCAATATTGAACGGCAATGAAATTGATTGCGTTGGAATTTTCACTGAAAATAATTCCTATTCATCAGTTTCCGAATTTTTAATTCATTCGGCGAAAATGGAGAGAAGAAAATTTCGCGTGATGGATAGCAGTATGAAAAACATTAATGGAAAAAATCTAGCGAATTCGCCGGAAAACTCTTGCGTTGGAATTTTCACTGTGAAAATAATTCCTATTCATCAGTTTCCGAATTTTTAATTCATTCGGCGAAAATGGAGAGAAGAAAATTTCGCGTGATGGATAGAAGTATGAAAAACATTAATGGAAAAAATCTAGCGAATTGGCCGGAAAACTCTATTTTTGATTCAATAGGAAGGTTCAATGGAAAATATTCTGTTGGAAAAACGGATAATATCTGATTGCGTTGGAGTTTCCAATGTGAAATTAATTCCTAGTCATCAGTTTTTCGAAATTTTAATTCATTCTGCGGAAATGGAGAGATGAAAATTTCGTGTGATGAATAGACGTATAAAAACATTAATTCGCCGGAAAATTCTATTTTTGATTCAATAGAAAGATTCAATGGAAAATAATCTGTAGAAAAAATTAATAAAATTCGATTTTTCCATTCAACTCATTCTATAGAGATATTTCCTACAGAAATTCCACGGTTCAATGTTTTTTTGATTTCATTTTTTAATCAAAAGAGAAGGAGAGTAGAGTGGAAAAAATTTGGAAAAGAAATTTCATGTCGAGATATTCCTATGAAAAATGTTTGAATGTTTCATTATCATTGATTTATTATTAATGAACATACAACTTCATAACAAAAATAACACAAACATCAAAATTGAATTGAATGAGGCTAATAAAAGGCGAAAAGGGAAATAAAAACACTATAAAAAGCTTAAACCACTCTAGATAAATCGTAAAGAGCTTTCGCTGCACTCGAACAACCCATTTCTCTCACTACACAAACCAAACGAACCGTAACAAGTGCACAAAGCTCAATTAATTACCCCCAGGATCATTCAAAAGTTTATTTGAATATTTCATTATCATTGACTTATCATTTTTGTAAATTAAATTTAAAGTTTGATTGAATATCTCATTATCATTGAATTATTATTATTGAAGATACAACTTTGGGGATAATAAAATGCTCAAAGATTAACGAAAACAATTCAAAAAGCTTAAACTGCTCGAGATAAATCGTAAAGCATTTCTTTCACTCCACGAACCAAACGAATCGTAACAAATGCACAAAGCTCAATTAATTACCCCCAGGATCATTCCAAAGTTTATTTGAATATTTCATTATCATTGACTCATCATTTTTGTAAATTAAATTTAAAGTTTAATTGAATATCTAATTATCATTGACTTATTATTATTGAAAATACAACTTTGGGGATAATAAAAGGCTCAAAGATTAACAAAAACAATTCAAAAAGCTTAAACTGCTCGAGATAAATCGTAAAGCATTTCTTTCACTCCACGAACCAAACGAATCGTAACAAATGCACAAAGCTCAATTAATTACCCCCAGGATCATTCAAAAGTTTATTTGAATATTTCATTATCATTGACTTATTATTATTGAAAATACAACTTTGGGGATAATAAAAGGCTCAAAGATTAACAAAAACAATTCAAAAAGCTTAAACTGCTCGAGATAAATCGTAAAGCATTTCTTTCACTCCACGAACCAAACGAATCGTAACAAATGCACAAAGCTCAATTAATTACCCCCAGGATCATTCCAAAGTTTATTTGAATATTTCATTATCATTGACTCATCATTTTTGTAAATTAAATTTAAAGTTTAATTGAATATCTAATTATCATTGACTTATTATTATTGAAAATACAACTTTGGGGATAATAAAAGGCTCAAAGATTAACAAAAACAATTCAAAAAGCTTAAACTGCTCGAGATAAATCGTAAAGCATTTCTTTCACTCCACGAACCAAACGAATCGTAACAAATGCACAAAGCTCAATTAATTACCCCCAGGATCATTCCAAAGTTTATTTGAATATTTCATTATCATTGACTCATCATTTTTGTAAATTAAATTTAAAGTTTAATTGAATATCTAATTATCATTGACTTATTATTATTGAAAATACAACTTTGGGGATAATAAAAGGCTCAAAGATTAACAAAAACAATTCAAAAAGCTTAAACTGCTCGAGATAAATCGTAAAGCATTTCTTTCACTCCACGAACCAAACGAATCGTAACAAATGCACAAAGCTCAATTAATTACCCCCAGGATCATTCCAAAGTTTATTTGAATATTTCATTATCATTGACTCATCATTTTTGTAAATTAAATTTAAAGTTTAATTGAATATCTAATTATCATTGACTTATTATTATTGAAAATACAACTTTGGGGATAATAAAAGGCTCAAAGATTAACAAAAACAATTCAAAAAGCTTAAACTGCTCGAGATAAATCGTAAAGCATTTCCTTCACTCCACGAACCAAACGCATCGTAACAAATACACAAACGTCAATTAATTACCCCCAGGATCATTCACCCTGAGTATCAAAATCATGTAATAAGATTAACGTTATCCCATGTCAACGTCCATCCCGTTTTTCGTCTATCCCCCAGTATCTCCCCCCAGCATCATGGCTTGATCGATGAGGCATGTGTTTAAGAATGTTCTAATCGTCGATCGCAGGAGCCGTCGTGCATATGGGGCTCATTAAAAAACGGTCACGAATCCATATCCCCGGTTACACGGATCGAGACGTCCAATGTTGTACCCAAAAACTCCTTCATTCTTTTTTCCTCTCATTTTATCTGGAATCTCAATCGTGTGGACACACTGTTAGCAAGCACGCCAGAGTGACCATTACACTGCTCCTCCGAATCGATATGACAGGTGGTTGAGAAAGAAAAAAAATCATTTCTCCGGAGAGAAATTGCCCCGAAGTAGGATTTAACTAGCCCCTGGGAACAAATTTGTGGGATAATCAAAGCAGTACGAACAAATTCCCCTCGAAATTCTGACGAGTTAATAACAGAGGCGTCCCGAGGAGTTCCCCAATGAGAGAATTTTCGTTGGTTTCATCAACGCTTTGGAGATGAGGTCTCCGGCACTCTGTCATCCGGGCTTGGACAGCGGTGATGCCTAGGAAGCGGTTTGTTTAAGTTCTCGGTGGACCCTGTAATCATGAGGGAATAATGGGGGGAATCAGACTGGTATATGACGATATTATAGCTGCATAAGAGGACCGATGCGGGGGGGGGGAGGGCCTAGACGGGGCTCCGACTTAATTCTGGGTTATGGGGATATTTTTCGGCTACTTTGTGGCGATTGTTGGGGGATAGCTACTCATTAATAGACTACTACGGGGTAATAGAATTTTTAAACAGGTTGAGTGGGAAGGTATGGGGAAATAGAAGGCTCTTCGGAAATGGAGGAATTGGTTTTCTTGAATTATGGACAGATGTCTGTACTGCTTCTTAAATTTACGAGAAATTTACGGGACGGAATTTTATTTGAGGCGAATGAAGAGGTTTTGAAAAATTTAAACAAATATTTTCTGAATAATTGAACTGAATGGAGAGGACGGGTTTATTAGTTATAAATTAAATTATTGTTTTGACGGAGAACGGAGAATTATTTATTTCATAGGATTAAACCAATTTTATTAAAAGGAATGGAAAAAATTTTAATGAGCATTATTTCATTTGATTACAGCATTCTCATCAAAATGAATGCAAAAATTTTGAATAAAGATTTTACAAATCATGTAATAAACGATATTGTTATGTGACAGGGTGTGAAAAAACTACTGAAGTACGAGGAAAACTTCCCACCATGAATTCTCAGCCAGAAGGAGATGAAAAGAATCGGAAAGGTGTCTTTAAAAAATTATCCACTCTGTAGAAACCGGATGAAGCGAGTTGGGGTGATCTGAAAAGAATAAACAATTCCAAGAGATGTTTAAAAATGCGAGGTGGAGGCGCCGCCATCTCCAAAGCCGCTTGCGGCGGAGGTATCCAAGCGAGATAGTGGCGCCCACACCCGTCAGTCAATTCGTATTTTTTTATAACAATTTCTTGAAGTTATTCATCCTCTCGAGATCACCTTCAACTCGCTTCATCCACATCTTTAAAAAATAACGAATTCTCTGTAGAAAAAAATTATAAACTAAAAAATGAAAAAAAAATTGAGGAATTGCGGGAAAAAAAACTTGAATTAAGTATAAAATATACTTGATTCGAGTATATTTTATACTCAATTCAAGTTTTTTTTTCCCGTGATTAATTCATAGCGCAAAGTTTTCGCGAAATTGCATTAGTTTTTTTAGTCCCGAGGGCTCTTAAGTGCTTCGAAAAGCCCGAGAGATTTCAATAAAAAAAAACCCAGAAACAAGAGGTATCAGTGAGGGTATAAGCTGGAGAAATCGAAAAGGTGGAATGCAATGGCCGATGGCGAATATAATTGAAGACGCACAGTTGTATATCCTTTTTCTCGGGCATACGGATTAATCCCCCTGGGTACATATACACCCATACCAATGGTCTTGAGAACTATTAATTTATTCCCTCGGGTCCAAAGTATCCACCGCAGCCCTAAGTACGGGTGCTGAG